CCTTGCTGGGCAGCAGCACTGAACCTCAGCTCCCAGTCAGCCACAAGATCATGAGGCTAAACAACTGACACTTTACTGTGTACTGTGTTGCTAGATCATTTTGCCCAACTGTAGGCTGATGTGAGTGTTGGGAGCACATTGAAGGTAGGCTAGGCTAAGCCATGAGTTTCAGTTGGTTAGGTGTATTAAATGCATTTGTGACTTAAGATATTTTCAACTTATGATGGGGATTATAACTCCATATAAAGAAATGGTGCTAGCCTGTCCACTAGGTGACAAAACATTTGTGTGACAGCTTCAATTAGGCAAGGGACAGGGGAGGAGCAATCCATTCCATTGATCCTTGCGGAATTCTTGTGCTTAAGTACCAACTAATAGCCATAGTATCTTATTTTGGAATATTACCAGTCTTTGAAACTCTTAATTGTAGCCCCAGTTCAGGGACTACTAGGTCTGGCATCAAAAAAGAAAACTGTAGTGACATAGGGAATACCTGTAAGTGCCCAATTTGAATTATCTTTTTAATTGTCATTGGCCTCACAGGTGTAGCCCATTTATCAAAACTGATCGTTGCTTTGGTTTTATGGTTGGGACTCCACCTGCAGGCCAGAGAGGGTGAAGCCCAATGGAAAGAAATTCTGAACTTACATTAGCTTTTGCTAACCCAACCAAGGAATTGGATTCTTTTTAGCAGTCTTGCCATCAGTTTGCAGTTGCCTCCTAATCCATTTTGTTCAAGTTCTTAGGTTTAAGTTCTCTCACTTCCAGATTCCCCTAGAAAGTTATATCATCAGTAACCAATTTCAAAGCCTGTGTTACTTCCAACCAAGGGTAGCTTGTTGAGCAACTTCAAAGGTTCTTTTTCATCCCTTTTATCATAATCATCTTTTTTTTCTTTCTAAATAATGCCTTAGTAATACTTTTAGCTAAGAATGAGTTGGAGGTGTCTTAAACAATCTTGCTTCTGACACTCACTGCCCTGACAGTGGCAGTTAGACAGGGTTCAATTGCTAAAGAGGACTCACAGGACCCAAATGACAGTGCTTACGAATCTAGAGTTCTTTGCAGAAAAAGGATGCAATATACCTACAACATTAAAACCAGAATAAGTGTCACAGCCACAGGCTGCCTCACAGCATAGGGTCCAGAGAGGACAGGTACAAGCTATAATTGCCCTCTGTCTACAAAGCCACACCAAGATGCATTTTCTCTCTTGGAACAAGAGCTACTGATGTGAGCACAAAACACCTTGGAAACCAGGGGGCACAAATTGGAGTTTCAGCCAGGCTTTCTTATGTCCTGCCAGTAACCTAGGCATACTGTTCCTATGTAACCAGCCTCAAACTCACTGGCTTCCATTGGTCTCACTGTGCCCAGGTAAAAATGGTCAGTGTTATTGTTAGCAATAAACAATGGTGATAACCTGCAACCCGTGGCTACACTTCAACACAGTAAGTCATTTTGAAAAGAAAGTGCTTTGACCAGGGCTCTGCACTGTGTAGATATTTTAGCAAGGCCTCTCATGCCAACTCCAGCCTCTCTGGAATTAACCCTTACTGCACAGACAACTACATCAAAGTGCATTGACTTTCTTGAAGTGCAAAGATTTGCTTGGGAGGTCCTTCAGCCATAAGTGCAAGTTGCCTGTAGAATGGCATGCCTGGGCAAGAAAAATCAGCAAACATGCAGCAGTTCTTCTACCATTACTCACCTCTTTCTGTTTCTGTGCTAATTAGATCACAGAATTATTTATACATCAACATAGAATATCCAGGTTGACCTACAGGATGAACTTGGGGGTTATATAGGCACCATGAGACATTTTTTTTTTCCACTAACCAACTTTTTGGTGCTTCTGTTTTATCCTACTGTTGTCATTAGCATGGAATGCAGAATGGTTTTCCTTTTCTGTAAAGTCAGTAAGGACATCTTCTGCCACCCACTTTTCCCTCTTACAATATGTACCTCCATGAGAAATCAGAAAACCTAGATAACCTGCCATAACACCCAGAGCGAGTCTCCATATCTCTGGTCTCAGTTGTCTCAACTGCAAAATGATTTTAAAGCAACCTTCTGGCTCTAAGAGTCTATCACTCTGTAAAAGACAAAAAAAAAAAAAAATCTGTCTTACATAGAAAGGAATAGCAAGAGTTAGCTACTGTGGCATACATAGAAAGGAAAAGAATTAGCTTTTGAAGCTAGAAGGTTGAGAAGATGATCAGGCACAACCAGAGCCTCAGGAACCATTAGTGGGATCCCTGTGCTGAAGTCCTGCCTGCTCGCCACCCCCCAGCCACCACTGTCTGCTTTTTCTGCACAGCAAAGAGGATCCTGGAGAGTCAGCAATTTTTATCCTGTCCCCACCCTCTCTCACCCCCATAGCCCTCATGCGTAGGGTACCACCACATGGTCCCTATTCTTCAATGGCTTCAAAGCCTATAGCATCCTCTACTGTAAACATAATTTAGAAAGTGAGGATGTATTAGAATACTTGGGTTTTTATAAAGCTTTGAAGGTATATCTACTAGTGAATACACACACACACACACACATATAATATTTAATGGAAATTCCTAGCTTAAGGAAAAAAATGGTTTCACACAACTGTATCTGCTGGTTGTTTATTGAGGGTCCTAAAAACAGCTAATCATTACATTTAATGTTTCATCAAAAAGTCTAGGTGCGTTCTCTAAGCTGTTCATTTGGAAAAGCATATGCATGGCAATTAAATTGTCCCTACTGATATTCTCACTTCCTTTTCAGGTCCATAGCATGGATTGTGTATACCTAAATAGAATTCTTTTCAAAATAATTCCATGAAAGTTGAATTCTGTTTGACATGTTTGTTTAGGGAAATGTGCTCTTCAGTCTTCTATGATGGATTGTTCTTGTGTTTAACCACATCCAGTTTTAGCAGAGCACACTGCACAGTATTTCTCTCCTAACTGTGTCATCTTCTGCTCCTGTAATTTCAGAACAATTGCTTTGCTCCCCTCTGGAGCTATTTATACTCAACAATTGCTCTTCTGTGTGTTACCCATTCACCTGTACAGAGATAAGAGCAGGCCCAATAAAATGAAATTCATGCAGTTTTTCTCTTTGTTCGTTTCCATCACACGGATAAATAAGACTCTTAATACAAAAGCGATTCTAAAAATTCTCACTAGTTACTTCTTAAATGCCTGGATCAGAGGCAAAATACTTAATGATGACTAAAGCAGAGTAACAAAAAAGAAAATAATCGAAAAACTTCCAACCACCCATAGCTTCCTTCAGTATAGAAGGAAACATGTTGGGAATATTGGTGTTTGGAAGAAATCCATTCCTCTCTTCCAGTAATGGAGCGGGTATACTGTGTTTCTAAGTGTTCCTACTACGTGCACTTGAGTATACGCCCTCTGAGGAAAACAGGCACACAGAAGAGAGAATAAAAGTTTGAGTCTTTTGTCTCTGAACCTCTCTCCAGCCTCCCATGCAGTCCGCTTTCAGCCATTCCCTCCTCACGTCCTCCCACCCTCCTGCCTCCTTGCATTGCTTTTTAAAATTCTTTATTATTTTTCTCACTTGACTCCTCAGGTCAGTCTCCCAAGTTATCTTCCTTCCTCCCACTTTAAACAAAGTCTCAGCTTCCATGAAAAGGGTCATTTCTCGATCTTTAGAGTATTTCAGAGCAAAAACAGAGGGGCCTTCCCTTCCAAGGGAGGAGTGCAGACTCCTGCTTCCACCGCCATGTCTGCTTCATGCTTCTGGGGAAACTCCAGGATTTTCTGTTTTCCTTTTTTTTAAAAGAGAAAAATGTGTGCGATATAGGTGCAAAAGTATTTTTGCACAAACCTACATAGGTATTAACCACTATTTTTGTTTCTTTCTTAATATTTAATTAGAACTGGCCACGAATAACTTGTAAAATACACTAAAGCCTTAAGTTTGCATTTCTTTATTACTGGGAAAGCTGTTTACTGAGTGGGGTTTACCTGTATTTATGTGAACTACATTTATAATTGAATTGCCCCTTCCCCCTAGATGCATGAGAGATTTACTTAATTAGCATGGATTCCTAGTCTCAAAGGACTGAGAATTTCAACCAGAGCTTAGGTGTATAAGGTGGTATAAAAGCAATGTTGTTGTGTTTCTAGTTTGGCTAATAAATTGGCTTTAGAGAAATGAATCTTTTCATGACACTTGGGAATAAAGCTTGTGATTTGCTGATGTTGGACAAGGTTGAAGTTTCACTTTCGTTAAATTTTTGTCCCTGGCATAAGATTAAATACCTCCTCAGATCAAGGGAATTTTCCTCCCTCAGTCTTATAAAGTTCTTAGAGGACTTGGAAAGCATATTATCAAATACAATTTGAAGGTGAAAGGAGAAATAAGTGAGCCTCAGGTCTGAAAACTGGATAGATTATACAATTACTTTAGTTTGCCTATAGAAAATTTTAGTGGAGAGTATTTTTTTCACCTAATATTAGGGTAGCAGAGAGATGCTGAGGTGACTGATATTTCAAGGAGAAAAGTGCTTAATGATTATAAATGCATAGCTAGAAATAGAGTTTACACAACCTTAGCCATACAGATTAATCTAACAGATTTTCTTTAATACCAATACAAGAAAGTATTATTGGATCTCTTCAAACATTTCTGCTAAAAACATTTTTTTTTTCTTATTCAGGTGAAAATTGACTCTGTTTATGTAGAACAGGATAGGCCCCCTTAACTCTCAGATATTCCCCAGTAATCCAAGCATGGGAATTATGTCTTTGCCCGTACCTGCACCCAATGCCAGTGAGATTTAAGAACAACTTCAGATCCTGAATACTGATGAAACTCATCAACTTAGAGTCGAGGGATAAAAATAAAACACCTTTCAAAGAGAGTGTGGTTCAAGTTTGGTGTTTATTAAAGGGTATGAGACGGTCCTACCTAGGATTCTCAAAGGAAAAAGGACACCGAAAGGAAGGTTATACTCTCTGAATCATTTGTGATTTTATTTGTTTTTGCAGTGGATCTCTTGAGCCTGTCAGCTGCATGTGATGCCTTGGACCAGCACAACCTCAAGCAAAATGACCAGCCCATGGATATCCTGCAGATTATTAATTGTTTGACCACTATTTATGACCGTCTGGAGCAAGAGCACAACAATTTGGTCAACGTCCCTCTCTGCGTGGATATGTGTCTGAACTGGCTGCTGAATGTTTATGATACGTATGTATGGCTAGTTTTTGTTTCCCGGTCTCTGTCATAGGAGGCTTAGCTTACAGAATGGTGACAGTGTAATTAGCATTACAACAGGGCCTCAGAAGCTGTGGACCTAATGCTGTTCCTGTGATAAATCATTTTTGCATTTATGACTTGAAAAATATTTTAATAAACTAGGAGTTAAGAGCCAGAACGTAGATTGCTCTCAGATTCGAAAACAAACAAAACCCTGAGATACTCATTCTTCAAATAGTGGAATAAGTCAACATATAGCCCTTGGTTCTTTCCCTTTCTCGCCCATGGATTTTGGAATTCTTCCATGCACTTCAGGGGTGGCTCCCTCTCACTGGCGGCCATGGCTGTGCTCCTGGAGATACTGGCACACCTGTCTCCAGATCAGAATTGTCTTAGCTGATACTTAGGAGACTTGCAGAAGATTATGAATTGATAGGCCAAACAAAATGAAAACAAGCCCTTAATACAGCAAACTTAACTCCTCAAACTGAGAACATTTTTGGTTTTATTTTGTTTTTTAATAAGATTTTATGAAGTTTCAGTTTGGCGCCTCCATTCATCACTCTCTCTTAGAGAGCAATTATTTGTTTATTTTGGATTGCACATGGGAGATATCCCCAGTTCTGATTTTTTTTTTTTTCTTGAGCTTAATGAAGACAATTGAAGAAGGGAGCAGAAGGAATTGGTTTTAATGTTGCCTAAATTCTTCTCAGACCTCAAAATTATTACATACCTCATTTCACCAATCAAGAACATATTCCCATTTGGAAATCTGGGAAGGTTTTCTGAAAAGAGTTGCATAACAACTGTTTTGCCTTTCACCTTTGTTGTAGACTTCTACCACCTTTTTAACTAAAATTTATAGCTTTTTTTCTTTCTTATTTTGATAAGGTATTGCTTTTTAAAATTTCAGGACCACCTGACTATTACATTCATCTTAGTTATCTACTAAGTCCTTGAACATGTCGGATTTCAATTGCGAACTACATTTACATTAGTTTTGATAAGAGTTTATATTCGGGTTTCTCCTCAAATATATTTTGGCACTGTTTTCTTTGCAGATGACATGTGAATGCATTCTGAATATATAACGCCATTCTACCTGCCTGAAAATTATTTGGTGACAATTTTAACTCCTTGAAGTTGCTGTATAAAGTGGATTTGTTAAATTTTGAACAACCTTTTCTTAAGAGGAAAAAAGATAAGAAAATTTTCCAATGATAGGAATTTTGTTAGTCCATTAGTGCCCAGGATTTCTTTTTGACTGAGGGATTTAATAAATTTTAATAGTTGAAAGTTGAGCATATTGTTCACCGAAAATAACCGCAGTTGGAACTATCATTTGTGATTTTGAAGTGCTAATGAGCAAATTATTTGAAAATGTTTTCTCCTTTTTCTTTTTACTGATATCTAAGGCTCAGTAGCTTTCCGTAATAAAATAAGAAGCCAAAAAACTACTGAAAGACATTTTTTAACTTTAATTTTAGGTTTTGGGGTACATGTGAAGGTCTGTTATACAGGTAAACTCGTGCCACGGGGGTTTGTTGTACAGATTATTTCATCACTCAGGTATTAACCTATTTATGCCTAGTGTTCCATTGCTGGAACACTAAGCTTTTGTGGGAATTATTCATATCCTACTGCTCAAGGTCATTGTCAAGGTCTGATTTTCACAAAAAATAATTTGCAACCTCCAGCATAAACGGGTTAACCGCAGTACCCAATAGTTGTCTTTTCTGCTCCTCTCCCTCCTCCCACCCTCCACCCTCAAGACCCCAGTGTCTGTTGTTCCCTTCTTTGTGTTCGTGAGTTCTCATCATTAAGCTTCCACTTATAAGTGAGAACATGCAGTGTTTACTCTTTTGTTTTTGCATTAGTTTGCTAAGGATAATAGCCTCCAGTTAATCCATGTTCAAAAGACATGATCTCATTCTTTTTTATAGCTGCATAGTATTCCATGATGTATATGTACCATATTTTCTTTATCTAATTTGTAATTGATGGGCATTTACATTGATTCCATGTCTTGAAAGACATTTTCTACAAAATGGAAAACTTTTCATTCTTATTTTTCCTTTTTTTCCCCCATGGATAAAATTAGCTTATTAATAAATTTGTTATGTGGAATGCTTTATTTCAGTTTTCTATATGCAAAGTGAAATAAAAGCAATCTATATTAAAACATTGATATAGCAACAGGTTATTTATAAATTTATTTTTTAGATCATGTATTTGAATGCTGTTTAATAGAGTATCATATTTTTCTCATAGAGATAAGCATTTATATTTTATATTATGTGTTACGTGGCCTGAAGTGATTAATTTTCTTTCAGTAAGGGGCAGTCTGATGAAGATCTAAGCATTTAAGAGGGCAGAGCAGTTAGTTGCCGGTAATTTTTTTGGCTTCAGTGACCAAAGTGGGTAATTTGCTTTAATAACCAAAGTAGATTGGTGAAGAGTGGTAATTCTTCTGCTTACCAACTTAAACCAAGGTGGCTTTCCATAGGTGAATAGAATTTTTTTTCTTAATTTATGTAGAACTTTTGCAGTTCTACATACGAGTTTTTAGGAATTGAAACTTGGTAAACATTCAGTGGTCAAGTTGGTTGAATTTCCATTGTATTGTAGGTCATCAGTCAAAGAGATAATAAATTTGGAAAAGTTCAAAACAATCTTAATAAAACAGCGGTCAATAGAGTTCACACCACTTTACTCTTTTATTTTTCCTTTTCAAGGCTTTATGCTTAAGTAGAAGTGTTTACCCTCTAGGAAAGTGTCAGTAATTGTTTTCTGGTTTGATTCTTCATAATAGGGGACGAACAGGGAGGATCCGTGTCCTGTCTTTTAAAACTGGCATCATTTCCCTGTGTAAAGCACATTTGGAAGACAAGTACAGATGTAAGTCGTGTATACTAACGCTGTATTCTTTTATTAATGTTGGCTAATTACCCTAGTTCTAGATGGGACATGACAGACTGTTCTTATTTGACAGCAGGTTCCTCATGTAAGATGTAGAACTGCTTTTAGAGTGTCATAAAATTTGGTTTGTGCCATTCCTTGTCAAACATTAAATTGCAGGCATTTAAATAGAGAATGAGGATTAGCGTTTCCAGTCCAAGTATTATTTTACATTACACTGACTGTGTCTGAATAAAACACATGTTCCTAGGGGATAAAGTCTGATTTTCTAACCTCTTTCTGTAAGTCAGAAAAATAAGTGTGAAGATTTAATCCCTGCACTTGTCTAGTCCTTGGATTCTTATTTAAAGAATACTATGTGACATTCATGTTCAAGAAACATTGTTTATTTTATAATCATCTTACTGCAAGTTGTACTGATACATCCAATTCCGTGACATGACTAACATTTTATTATTTGGGAGACAGATAGCTTGCTGTTTCTTAAAGGGTAGATACGTACCACCCTACAGAATTTCCTTTTGATTACGCATTGGGTTCTTCTGCTTAAAAATTTTAAAACCAAATTAAAAGCAAATGCTAGAGGAGTGATGGTTCAGATGACCGAGTGACCATCCATTCCTATTGTGAAAGGCTGCACTTGGTTTTCGCCTTGAAATACTTATAAGCAATCTTTCCAGTAGGAATATTAAACAAACCCGGCCTAGCTGGTCTTTTCTCTCTTCCCCTAAGGCCTAGCCACACATGTGAGGAGATGTGCTGAGCTTCAGGACAGGCAGGAGATAAAAGCCACTCTGTGTCCTCCTGATCATTTCTCCTTCAGGAGTAAGCCACAAAATACACAAACCATTTTGACTCTCACTTTTATGTAGTGTCCGCTTGAGTTTTCTCATCCTGAGAACCAAAGAAAAATAACTGAACAGCTTTTATTAACCATGCTAAAATGTATTTTGGATAAGATGGGATATCTGTGTGCTTTTCTCCTTTAAACATTGTAGTTACTTATTATAGATTAGGTTTTAATCTACTGTATATATGGTATAGTAACAGCACATTGTAAATATAATATTAAAGTGAATAATTGAGGAAGCTTTGAGCTGGTGTTTCAAATAACTACTAAGAAGGAACATGGTTTTAGGTTGGTGAAACAAAAATATTAAATTGAAAATGAGATGTTTGAAAATAACTCATAACTTTGAACATAAACATCTAGGTATGTGTATCGGAGAGAAGATAAAAAGCTGTTCGTATAATCTCAATTTTTAATGTCATCTTAGGTATCTTGTTAAAGCATTTAATTTCCTAGAGTTTAAAGTGTGCTTATGGGTACAGAAAGCTTTCTTGGATTTACTTTTTTTGAAGGGGCAACTTCTAGGTGAATATAAGGTATGATTAAATTTTTATATCTGAGAACAAAACATAACATTGCAAGCATTCGGTATGTTCATTCTGTTACATATATTGGGCACCTACTCTCCACCGGGTACTGCTAGTCTACTCTAGATGCTTCTGGCACACAACTGACCAAGATATGGTTCCTTCCCTCAAGGGAATATAATTCTCCTGCCAAAAAAGATAGACACATATTAAATCAATGCCAGCATAACGTGATATGAGCTATTAATTAGAAATATGCAGCCAGGCGCAGTAGCTCACACCGGTAATTCCAGCACTTAGGGAGGCCGAGGTAGGTGAATCACTTGAGGTCAGGAGTTCAAGACCAGCCTGGCCATCATGGTGAAACCCCGGCCTGGCCAACATGGTGAAACCCCGTCTCTACTAAAAATACAAAAATTAGCTGGGCGTGATGGCATGTGCCTGTAATCCCAGCTACTCAGGAGGCTGAGGCAGGAGAATGGCTTGAACCCAGGAGGCAGAGGTTACGGTGAGCAGAGATTGCGCCACTGCACTCCAGCCTGGGTGACACAGCAAGACTCCATCGCAAACATCAACAACAACAACAACAACAAACTATGCACAGTATCCTATGGGAACACACACATGATGGACTGGAAGCTCAGTGATCTTATGACTCCATAAAGAAGTCCCAATTGTGGTACATTTTTGAATCTCTGGTATCCAAAGAGGGTGGTGTTTTGGGCCAGTTATATGTCTCTTAATGCTAAAACACTTATTTTTTGATGTAGTTACATCCTATATATAATAATTCCCAAGGATTGTGTTCTGGCTTAGAAGAAATTTAAGTGTCAAGGGTACATGTAAGCTTGTGCTTCTTGCAGTGACATAGTTTATGTAAAAGTTATCACACTTCATATATATACAGTGATCATTAACTTGATTCATAAAAATAATAAATGTCCAGATTAGCACAAATTAGAAGTAACCCCACTCTGTGGAAATATTGGCTACTCTTGAGAATTGCTACTGGAATTGAGTTGGACGTCAGTTTCTGCTGGCATCCATGGGTGCTGTGTTTTGACTGTTGCAATTTTCTTCTTCCTTTGTAGACCTTTTCAAGCAAGTGTCAAGTTCAACAGGATTTTGTGACCAGCGCAGGCTGGGTCTCCTGCTGCATGATTCTATCCAAATTCCAAGACAATTGGGTGAAGTTGCATCCTTTGGGGGCAGTAACATTGAGCCAAGTGTCCGGAGCTGCTTCCAATTTGTAAGTTTTTCACCTTCTAGGTAACATATGTATTCGTTCATATTTTAGAAATTAATTTAAAAACTCACAGAGCTTCAGTTTCTCATATTAGCTCTTCAGTAGGCAGTAGGTGTGGGATTTGGGATATTTGGAACCTCTATAGTAAGCAGCTTCTGGAACTCTAGGTTTTGGGAAAGAAGACAGTGCTGAGGAAGGAAAAGAAATCTCCATCTGCAGCAGGGACCCCACAGTTACTGAGGTGCTGGAAGGGAAGACGTTCAGCAAGGGAGGAAATAAGTCTCTAGCCACAGAAATCCTATGTATATAAGAAAATGGCCTTTGTAGGCGAGTCTCTTCGTCTCTGAGTCCTTTCTCTAATTCTGTCATTATAGCCTCCTTTCAATGGATGTTGGTAAATTGTTAGCACAGCTATCCTTTTTAAAAAAATGTCCTTTGTAGCTTTGACATTCCCCTATTATTCCAAAGTCTAGAAGTGTGTACTCTGCTAATGTCCATCACTAACTGAACACACTCTTGTCCATTCTATTTCCTATCCTGTCCCATTGCTTTTTCTCTGTCATAGTCAGTGCCCCAGAAACACCCTCTTCTTCCCAAATGCCTGAGCACTCCACTGATAGACATTCACATTGCTCTAATTTTTTTTTCTCTGTTTTTTTTTTTCTTTTTTGAGATGGAGTCTCGGTCTGTCACACAGGCTGGAGTGCAGTGGTGCGATCTCTGCTCGCTGCAACCTCCACCTCCCGGGTTCAAGTGATTCTCCTGCCTCAGCCTCCTGAGTAGCTGGGATTGCAGGTGCCCACCACCACGCCCGGCTAATTTTTGTATTTTTAGTAGAGACGGGGTTTCACCAGGTTGTCCAGGCTGGTCTCAAACTCCTGACCTCAGGTGATCCACCTGCCTCGGCCTCCCAAAGTGCTCGGATTGTAGGTGTGAGCCACCACACCTGGCCTCTAATTTTTATTAGGTAAATAGTGCTACAATGAACATCCTTATCATTTAGCTTTTATCTTTGAAGCTTTCTTTATAGGATTAATTCTCAGGCGTGTGATTGCCAGACAAAAGAATACAAACCTTTTTTGTGGCCTTTCTTCAAAAGTTGTTCTAATTGTAATGCTATCAGTATTGAAGGAGTAAGATACTTTCAGTATCACATTATTCACGGTGTTCTTATTTATTTATTTATTTTTTCAAGTGCTAAGAGCTGTTTTTCTTATGTAGGGTTTCTCGATCCATTCTAATTCTATTAACAATGGCTGAGATTTACAAAATAGAACTAGCTGTAGAGCTAACTGGGTTGTATCTGAAGTCTTTGACCACAGACTAGGATGAAACTATAGAAGGCTTCCTGGGCAAAACACTGTGAATATTTAGGTGTTTAAAGCAGTTTGAGTATTTATTTAATAGTTAGTTGAACACATTTACCGGATGCACACATAATAAGTTCACGTACGTAAAGTGGGATATACTGTTTGAATTATTTTGCCACAATTATGGCAAATTAGCTGTAAATGTAAAATACATGTGGAGAAATAAGTATCTTTTCTTCCTCATACCCAAACCTTCCAAAATGCAGATAGATGATCAGTCCAATCAATCATCAAAATGTAGACACAAGTAACTTTCATACAATGAATATTAATGGCCACAAGCAATCTAGATTCATTTTGATTTTTTAAAATCCAATTATAAAACAACTTGCCATAAACATGAGTTATTTCCTAATCTTTTGGGTTGTTTTTTTTTTTTTTTTGAGACAGAGTCTCACTCTGTCGCCAAGGCTGGAGTGCAGTGCGTGATCTCGGCTCGCTGCAACCTCTGCCTCCCTGGTTCAAGCGATTCTCATGCCTCAGCCTCCTGAGTAGCTGGGATTACAGGGCACCTGCCACCATGCCTGGCTAGTTTTTTATAGAGACAGGGCTTCACCATGTTGGCCAGGCTGGGCTCGAACTCCTGATCTCAAGCAATCCACCTCCCAAAGTGCTGGGATTACAGGTCCTAATCATTTTTCACCTTTAGTCCAAGTCTCAGTTACTTTTTCAGTTCTAGTGAAGCACACACACATGTTCATATATAGGGATATATAAACATATGTGTGTGTATTGTGACTTGGGTTAAAGGTAAGGTTCAGTGATGGTCCCTGCTGCAAAGTAAACTAGGCTCTATTCCGGGCCCGCTGGAGCCTTTGTTTTCTGTCACCCCGAGTACTGACTCATCAGGAAGCCACCACCATCCTCACTGCAGCCTCTGGCCCTCTTGAATTTGGTTGTCAGGATAAGGGGTGGCCAAACAGAAGCTCTGCTTTGCCTGGGCTGCCCCCCTTATCAGGAGACCAACCTATTCCATTTCTGCCTGCTGCATCCTTGTGCTGGATAACCTCCTACTCCCCTAAGCCCGTGTCTCTGGTTTGGTTACATTTCTGTCACTGTAATAACAACTCTGTATTCTCAGTATCAAAGCTTTGAATTCAATCCATCCTTGCATATTTATTGAATGCCTCCTGGTTGGCCAGTCAGTCTCCAAGCTCTTTGAAATGTGAAATGTGTTTTGTTTTGTTTTGTTTTGTTTTGTTTTGAGAAGGGGTTTAACTTCATCACCCAGGCTGGAGTGCAGTGGCACAATCATGGCTCATTGCAGCCTTGACCACTGGGCTCAAGTGATCCTCCCAGCTAAGCCTCCTGAGTAGCTGGGACTACAGGCATGGACCACCACGCCTGGCAATTTTTTGGTCTGTGTGTGTGTGTGTAGACAGGGTCTCTAGCCATGTTGCCTAAGCTGCTCTCAAGATCTTGTGCTCAAGCTGTCCACCCACCTCAGCCTCCCAAAATGCTGGGAGTACAGGTGTGAGCCACAGCATCCAACCTTGAAATGTTTTCTATGAGACTGGGGGGAAATCAGTCAAGATATGAATGGTGGTAACAGGTGGCTTTTGATTTTCTCTGTACTATTTTTATTTTCTGAGTTTTCTTCTTTGAACATTTATAATTAGAAAAAAAAATTAGTAAAGTGCTGCCTCTTTTTTTAGGGAAAGAAACATGTTTTGTTTGATTGCTTTCCATTGCCATCCTTACATTGTTTCCAGGCCTTCTCATCATTGCTCTGGCTTCCTAGCAAGCCTCCACTCCACACTCCAGTCCTTTTCATTGGTCTTATTGCCCTCATTACTGGTTTTAGAGAAAAGCATTCACCATATGATGCCATCCTTGAAAATATCAGTATCCTTGTGTTGTCTACTGAACAAATCCTAATTTCTCTATTTAACTCTCAGACCTTTCCTAATCTGGTTTCATAACCACCCATAGTTTGCTTTCACTATCATGAAACAGCTTCTCCTTACCACTTGTACCTATTATGCTTATAAATAATATTGTTACCATTGCTCCTAACAAAACTTTGTTCACATGAATTCTCTCATTTAATCCTCACCAAGTCCTTGAGGGGAACAGAATAGTCAGGCTTTGGAGATTTTGCTTTTATTATTGTTTAAGTGGATGAATAATTTATCTGTGCCCTTAAAGTCCCTCAGCTGGTGGAAGAGTTTGATTCCTAGTCCAGTATGCCCACCGCCACATTTATCACCTCATTCCCAAATATGTAGTTTCTGATACTTCTGCTCTCCAGCTTCCCGAGGCCAAACAACAGCTACTTTTCCTGAGTCCTGGATAGAATAAGAAAAGGTATAACAAGACAGGGGACCTTGAGGGGGAGGAAGAATGAGTTTGAAGTATTGGCAAATTGAGTATTTCTAGTCAGATGCTAGTAAATTCTGTATGTATGGTGAGGCTTACATTACTTAGATTTGGGGAGCCTCTCAGCTTTGTAGCAATTTGCAGTCAGGTCGAATGGATCCATTGTAAATACTTAGGAATCCACGTCCTGGCCCTGGCATGCTTTTCCTTGGCCAGGTGCACTGGCGGTCACCTTGCCTTTCATCGTGCAACGTGCATAAAAATACAATGTTTGCTGTAGGGAAAGATAACAGGAGTGAAAATGTCCTCTGCCCTTTGTTTGAAGCCTAGGACCTTGAGAATAGGGCTGGGCTGGCTCCTTCAGCAAGCTTGTGCTCAAAGGCCACTATTTCTACCAGCCTGAGGTAAACGGTAACAAAGTACTTGTTTATCCTACAATTGCATTCCTTGCATCTCAGATTTCATTTCCTTTGATTTCTTGTCGCCAACTGGAAACCTTACGTTTTTTCAAGTTGGTACAGTTAGAAAGGTACTGAATCTTCTGATTCAGACAAGGGCCCAGTATTGGCAAGAAGTTTTTCTGTGCCACACTCTCTGGATTATTTATTAAAGGTTTTCTCATATCCCCCGCCCTCACTAGCCACTTAGAAAAGGAAATCACCCATCAGGTCTAAGTGAAAAATTCTGCTTATTTAAAAATCACTATAAGTCTTCCAAGGAATTATCCATTAAGCCAGGAAATGAAGTCACATCCATGGATATGAAAAAGGAATATTCACTATAAATTTATGGCTTTGACAGTGGTATCTTTGTAGATACTAAATGAGGCAACAGGATATGTTTCCACATTAATAGCATATTGCAGTCAACACATTTACTGGGAAACTGACTCATTTTGGTAGTGATAGAAGTAAAGTTTTGCAACGAGTTTGTTTTAGAGATACAGCTGTAATTAATATATTGCCAGCTTGTTCCTATCTCATATTCCATGGAAACAGCCCTGTTGAGAGATTAGATTGATCTTTATGACCTTAGTAAGGCCAAGCCTGCCCTGGCAGTGAGTCACATAGACTGCCTGAAGGAACCTTGAGGATTATCTGCATGTCTCCTTTTTCAGATGAGGAAACAGGCCCACAGTGTCACAAGGAATCTAGTCTACATCATACAATTATATCATGTTATGGCTTCAACCAGTTCAGAGACGAGATTGAAATAACATGGTGTTAATGTGTTAATGTGATCCCTTGTATGAATTTTAGATTGTAATGGAATGAGATAGATAAATAATAAACATCCTTTCTCCAAACCACATAC